AATAAATTTTGAAAAATATTCAGGACATACTGCGTTCTTTACACACATGTGAAATGAAAGCTTATGTTACATACTATGATTAAAAAAAAACAATTTTTTCCGTCGACTTTTATGTGCAAATAGCTGCCGTATTTAAAAAAACATGATATTTTTGTGTTCACGTTTTTTTCTTTTTAGTTTAATTTTAAATATTTTACAAGGGTTAGCCATAGTAATGAGTCCACCAATTTTTATAAAAATTACATAAATCCAACTTGCATTAAATATAAATTTAAACATAATTTGATTGTTTTTCCATCTCAAAGTTAAGAAAAGAGACTAAATTTCTGATTTACTTTAAATAGTTCTTTTTATATATAAAAAGATGCATCGTATATTTTACAATTTAAATAATTTTTTTAATCTTAGAAATTTAGACAAATATCTCAAAATTGCGCTATTATAAAAAATGACCACTTCAAAAAAACTTTTATTATTAAATATCTCATAATTAATAGGAGTATAAAATTAGTTTTTATACTGAATTACTCAGTAAAAACTAATCAGTAAAATAAAATATTTTTTGATGATTATAGACCATAATACTTTACTACTTTAATAAACCAAATTTCTATGCTTATTTCAAGTCCGAAATTTGATTTTTATATCACCTCTTTTTGAAGCTATTACTAATTATAAACACTTGAAAAAATTATCAAGTATTTTATTGATTTTTAATATATTAGAAATAATCCGTTCAAAATTTGAATTCAAACTAATATTTTAACTTTTTTTTTCTCTTGAATCTTAAATCTTTTAAAGTTAATTTTTATGAAAGTTTATAATTTTAAAAATTTTAAACTCTGAAACACAATTTATGCTCATCTTGCAAGTTTAGAATTTTTATCATTAATTATAACATTATATGTATTTCTTACTATTGTTATATTATTTTTTTTTTCTTTCTTCTCTTCCTTTCTCTTTTAAATATTTATAATTCTATTAATACACTAATTAACTAACCACAAATCAAAAGTATAAAAACCTATACAAAGCGAAAAACCATTTAATCAAGATGGCTTAACCAAATGAAGTATTCTATCTTTCAATTAAAAAATAATAATAATAAACTGATTGGAAAGAAACTAGACTAAGCGGAAATGGAAATCACACAAGGAAAGGGAAATTCTAAAGAAAATGGATGTCATATAACCCAACTCTACAGACAAGACTACACTTTTAACTAACTCTACACTTCAAGATAGGGGAGTGTAATATAGGTCATTATTTGTAAAGCTTTTAAGTAAAATATTTTTGTAATATTTGGTTTAGTTGTACTTCAAAGTGTATCATTGTTTTTGTACTTTTTATATTGTTTTAAATATATCTTTAATAATTACATTTGTGTTATTATTAATCTTTTATAACTTTAATTAAAGACCAAATAGGGTTGTTTCATTTTAAGATACAACATCAGAAACTTATATAGTTACTACTAACAGTAAATTTATAAGGAAAACTCCAAATTTAAATAAAAACGTTTTATTGTAATTAATCATTTAAATATAAGTCTTAATAAGCATTTCTATTTATTTTTTAGTGTTTAAATAATTATTCATATTGATATACTGCACATAATACATTCTGATTGTTATATATTTAATTAATTAAAATGTATTTATTGATTATTCATACGTAACATTATAATCAAACACAAATATTTGTTATATTAATTAGAAGGATTTTATTATTATTTAGTTAATATTGTTGGATACGCATCACAAGAGGGCGTTTTTTCTTAGATTTGTTGTGACTGATAGCGCCACTCGCGCTGCCACTACCGGTTGTGCGAGGGATTCGTCATTACGTTGGATACTCACGTACGTGATTTCTTGTGTCTCGCCGAGTTCTTATCGGTCCGCTTTCTGTGATTTTGAGTCTTTCGCCACCATCCTAACTCGTTTTGTTTATAGTTTTTTAGGTGCTTGCGAGCTCGTAATTGTTAAAGACGCTTATATATCGCCCTTGCGATTGTCGCACCATTGTGCGTTATTGTTCATCGCCCTTGCGATACGCGCACTGAGAATTAAATTCGCACACCTTGAAGTGCTATTCGCGCCAAAGTACGTTCTGACTGGTACAATTGTCATGCCAACAACTTTATTCGCATTTCATTCACATCGAACCAGTCATCATCATCAGTATCGTATAAATAGTTTGTAATCATATTGTTTTATCTAATTATTATTATTTGTTTTATTTGACACATTGTTGCATTAGCATTAAGGGCCCCTCTACCCACATTGATATATGTAATATTTTAGTTTATATTAAAAATACAGTTTATAGTTTCATATTTTTTCAATAAATTTACTCATTTATACAGTCCACTCCCCACTTTTTTCTCCTGTATGATATAAATACTCCAGAAACGAACAGTAACTAACCCGCACATCATTACCGGGCGTTCCGTTCAAACAAATATACCAAACTTTGCAGATTTAAAATATACTCGAAAATGGGTTTAGAAAAGTATATTTTGATCTCTGGTGAAAATATCTTGTAGATCAATACATTTATTTATAAGTTACAAACAATTTTTTTTTTTTGAAAATATTGCAACTTTTATACATATTTGCCATAAGAGTAATATCTACTTAATAATGTTTTACAATTTCTCCAAAAAAAATTTAAATACTAAATTATTAAATTTAAATTTCATACTCAACTCATTATTTAAAAATTTTTATAAAGATAATGAATTTTTTCAAATTTTATATTTTTAATTGAATTAGATTTTATTAGACTTATTTTTGTAAAAGTATCGATTNCATTTATTTATAAGTTACAAACAATTTTTTTTTTTTGAAAATATTGCAACTTTTATACATATTTGCCATAAGAGTAATATCTACTTAATAATGTTTTACAATTTCTCCAAAAAAAATTTAAATACTAAATTATTAAATTTAAATTTCATACTCAACTCATTATTTAAAAATTTTTATAAAGATAATGAATTTTTTCAAATTTTATATTTTTAATTGAATTAGATTTTATTAGACTTATTTTTGTAAAAGTATCGATTTCATCATCTTTGTCTGTTTAAATAAAATCAGTTATAGCTTAATAAATAATATCAGACTATATTTAATGGGAATTCAAACTACTATTTATAAAACAAAATTACGTGTAATAATTTTAAATGAGTTTACACAAGTTTTTCAAAGAAAATATTGAAAATAGTGCGTGCAAAAACATAGCATTTTAAAAACAAATAAATGTTCATCTAAGAAAATAATTTTGTAATAATATACTAAATTTTATTCTACTAAAATAATAATTTTTTTATAAATATTCTATATTGAAAATGATCAAGAAATATTTTTTATTTATGTCAATAATTTGTTGGTATTTGTCTGAGGTATTAACCCAGACAAGTCTTCAAGAAATCAATAAAGAACATTTCAAATCATACTTAATTTCTTCTTTAGATCATATTTGTAAACAATCTGGATGGAAAACAATGGAATATTTGCAATTTCAACAATTTGGTTGTACAATTAACACCTCCTGTATAACTAAAGACTCTGTCAATGAAGATAATTATTTAGAAAAAATTTCATGCATAACTCATCTACTAAATTGTGAATACACTATTGTAATGGAAAAATTTAATGTTATGTTAGGCGTGATTTTAGATAAATGCCAAGAGGAAAAATATAACCATCAAATAGACCAATTTGGACATTGTCTAAATCGGATACTTGACATTGTTAAAAGCTCAATAACTACGTTTTCAAAAATGTTAGATGCGGCAATATACATTAACCAAATAGATTTAAGAATAATAAACTCTTCTTTAATCAATCCAAAATGTATTGAAAATGAAATTGAATTGTTTTACAATAATGCAGCTTATATAGCTCAGGAATATTTTGACAGTACTATCACACCAAAAAAACATTACATTTTCGATTTTTTCGAACAAATGATTACATTTCACAAGAAAGCAGAAAACATTATACTTTACCTGTATACAAATAGAAAAGTTTGTGGTCCCGATCATAAAAGCAATATTCCAACTGATTTAATAACAGTATTCAATATAAATCAAATGAATAAATCAGTAAATAACTCCAATGATTATATCAATAATATTTATAATGAAGTCAGTTCTTACATGGCTCAAGTAATTGAAAATAATTTTTCAAATCTTGGCTTTGAACAACTGATTGGAACTAATTATTTCAAGTAAGATTTTTAATCATTGACACTAAAAAAAATTATACCTTGAAGTGTTAACTAGAAAATATACAAGCTTTTTTCTTTTAACTATAGCCACTCAATTTCTCTTGAAATAGTAATTATTATAAGTAAATTATTTTTAGTATNTTCTCTTGAAATAGTAATTATTATAAGTAAATTATTTTTAGTATTTTTTTAGTTTTATATTTTTTTGTTTTTCTAGTTATTTTGGAAGTTATTAACATTTTTATATCTATATAGGATGAGTGATATGACCGAGAAATGTCTAATAATAAATATTGTTACACCCTCACCTCACAATCAGTCTATATTTCAAAATGGTTTTAAATATATTAGAAAGTTTGTGATGTAGAAATAAAATCTAGTTTTAATAGCAAAACGATATAAAATCAATACTAGGGCAACGGATAATTTCTTTATCATTTTAAATAACTTGTATAGTTATTTTTAACTAATTTTCATTATTATCGAGAAATTAAATAGTAGAAAACTTTTTTGAATTTTATAAATCCATTTTTTACAAAATGAAATAATAATTCTTTAATTTAAATTGAGATTTTCCTTTCACTAAAATAGTAAAACTAAACTTTTGAATTAATATAATTTTTAGATTAATTACATATATGCAATTTTTAACAACTAAAATTATACAATCTCTCTATTCATAACGACGGCACAAAACCTTTCACTGTAATTAACGTATTCATCAAAGGTCGGTATATTTACATATTTTTAAAGACGTTGGGAACTTAAGATAATATCTGAGTTAAGAAATACAAAGTGATTCTTATAATAACCTCTCGTAGCCACTTTTAGCCATACGATTCCTTTTAAAATAATAATTATGTTAAGAAAATCTTTTTTGTAAATTTAGTTCACTATATTTCTCTATTTATCAATTATTAAGTTTTAATATTAATAATAATTCATAAGAAATAGTGATATTTATAATACATAATATTGTCTTCTTTAACCTCAAGTAGTTGGGATTGAGACGAGGAAGAAGAAGAAGAGGAATATTGTCTTCTTTTCATATTGAAATAAATATTTATAAGGGTACTTATTTAAGTCTAGTCGATGTTTAATAATTATTATAACAGTTTAATATATTTTTACTTATGTTAGTATAGTAAAAGGTTAAAGGGACACATTCCTTTACGATTATGTTGTTTTACTCAATGCAGCCTATTTTATACATGTTTACAGTTTAGTCGTAGTTTCGCCGTCTATCGAGTAAAGTGACCCGTTGCCGTTGTACATCTCTTATATTATATGTTTTGATATTTTATATTAAATACTATTATAATACGAATAACTTCTAAATATTTTAATTATTACATAACCTATTCCATTCAACAGTTATAATAGTTAAATATTCTTCACCGAATAAAACCTAATTTTCTTTGATGAATATCCATTAATATCAATTTTAAAATTATTTGTGTATCGAAAATAAACATTACGATATTAGTTTTTTTTCAAACTTATCACATTTTGCTGATCACTAATTTTAATCTTTAATTATAGACAGAGTTTTTTATTGATATTAGGACTTATATAAGATATTCCATAACCTAAGTGTAATTGATAACTGTTCTATTATATTTATTATCAAGATAGATTTACACTATAATTAATTTCAGTGTAAAGGTATCTTGTTGACAAGTAATGTTTATTAATGTAAGTAAAAATATTTGAGTTTAGTATTTAATAATCCAAGAGTCTTTAAATTAATTCACATAACGAAAAAAAAACAATTATAAAATTGTATTCGATCTATAATTAAATTTTTTTATAAAAATACAACACGTATGTAAAATAGAGTTTAAATACATTAAGCGTATAAAAAATTAATTATTTCATGAAATTCTACTTAATAGACATTTATCTCGTTTTTCCCAATGTATTGCTCATTGAGTTTAATATATAATTTCTTAAATTTTTTATTTCGAACATTTTTTGGTAACTTTAATATTGCAGTTGCTAGTATTGGTACTATCGACTTATATTCTGCTTAGATAGTAAATTTTGTGATACTTAAGTAATATTAAAATGATAATATTTCATAATGTAACAAATGTACTAAAATAAATCATTATTTAATTAAAATAATTAAAATTATTTAAATAAAATATTTAATTTAACTTACAATCAAAGAATTCATTTAAGGAATCTGAAATANAATTAAAAAATGGGAAAAAGTTTATGTCAATGCTGATTTAACTTACAATCAAAGAATTCATATAAGGAATCTGAAAGATGAACTTAACCGTAAACGTTTAGCAGGCGAAGCAAATTTGATTATAAAATTTGTCAAAGGTGTACCTACTATATGTCCAAAAAACTAATTAATCCTTTTTATAATTCTGTAAATTATAATTATCAATTTCATGATTTTTATTCTTTGTCTAATCATAATTTATCGTATTTTAATTGTTTCATAAAAAGTAAAAAAAAAAATGTTGTTAATAAGAAAAAAACTTTCACTGGTTTATATCAAAATTTAAGAGGTTTGCGAACTAAAATTCACAATCTCAAAACTAGTATTCCAATTATTAATGTTGATTATTTTTTGTTAACTGAAACTTGGTTAAATGGTTCTATTTCTGATTCTGAACTAGGTTTTGATAACTATAATGTATTTAGATATGACCGGTGTATGAGTACTAGTACGCACAATCGAGGTGGTGGTGTAGCTATCTGTGTACACAAACGCTTTAATGCTGAAATATTATCAATACCAGTTAAAAATGTCGAACAAATTTTTGTATTAGTTAGAGTAGGGAATAGTCATAAATTTCTTTTAGGGACTTGTTATATTCCCCCTTCTAGTCCTCCTAATTTGTATGAAGCTCACGTGGAAACAGTAGACTCTTTGTCCAGTTACTTTATGACTAATAATACTCACTTTATATTAGCTGGTGATTACAATTTACCCGGTGTAAAATTTTCATGTGATGATACTGGTCTTATATATTCTGGTCATAATCTACCAGGTGCTAATATAATCTTTAACAAATTTTCGTTTTTAAATTTATATCAAAATAATACTGTGTTAAACGACTTTAATAATTCTTTAGATTTAGTTTTTGTTAATAATAATTCAACTCTGGTATCTCGGTCTAATGATAATTTAGTTTCTCCCGATAGGTATCATCCATCATTATTAATTAGTAATGTATACAATTATGATAGTTATAATTCAAGATATAAGAATAATACATGGTATTATGACTTTAACCATGCTAATTTTCCTTTATTAGTTAATTTATTAAATGATGTAGATTGGTCTTGTCTTTATAATTTAAATGAAATTAACTCAGCATTAAGTAAGTTTTATGAAATAATCTCTAGAGTGTTAGATGCTAATGTGCCTAAAATATACTCTTATAAATCTTCTTTTCCACTATGGTTTTCAAAAGAATTAAAGTCCCTTATACACAAAAAAAAATATTTGCATAAAAAATTTAAAAAATATGGATTACAGTCAATCTATAATGAATTTTCATCTACCCGTGCAACTTGTAAATTTTTATCTAAGCAATGCTATTCTGATTATTTAAATAAAGTTCAAAACAGTTTAATAAATAATCCTAAATACTTTTGGAAATATATAAAGAATTGTAAAAATGTAAACCGACTACCTAATGTAATGAAGTACGAGAATTCGCGCTTTGATAATATGAGAGACATTGCTAATATTTTTGGTGAATATTTTGGTTCAGTATTCTCAGCACATAATACTGATCCGTTGTCTTTGGATAATTACGAAGGTGATAAAATTGATTTTTCCAAGTGTGATTTATCTTTATCAGATATTTATGAAGGTCTTTCTCATCTTAAAAATAGCACTTCAACTGGACCTGATTTAATTTCTGAAATATTTCTTAATAATTGTCGTTGTGCTCTTGCCCGGCCGATTCACTTCCTTTATTCCCTTTCTTTATCATCTGGTTGTTTTCCAGATCTTTGGAAATTTAGCTTTATATATCCTATTTTTAAATCTGGTGATAGAAGTGAGGTAACTAATTATCGCCCCATATCTAAGCTTAATGTCTTACCAAAGTTATTTGAAAAATTATTACTACCTAAGCTTGCATATACATTTCAACCTATTTTAGTTAATAATCAACATGGCTTCCGTTCATCAAAATCAACTATAACAAATCTTCTTATTTTTTACACTACTTTAATATCCGATATAAGCTCTGGAGGCCGCGTAGACGCTGTGTATACTGATCTCAAAAAAGCTTTCGATAAAGTTGATCATTCAATTTTGTTAAAAAAGCTAAGACTTTTGGGTGTAGGTAATCCAATGCTTGCGTGGTTTTCTTCCTTTCTCAAAAATAGAAATCAACAAATCAAAATAGGTAATTTTACTTCGAATATAATTAATGTTACTTCAGGTGTACCACAAGGTGGCCATTTGTCTCCTTTACTTTTTATCGTTTTTATTAATGATTTATGTCGAATTTTTCAACACTGCAACTATCTGCTTTTTGCGGATGATCTTAAGTTATTTATGACCATTCAATCAGTTGATGATTGTGGTAAATTACAATCAGATTTAGATAAATTCAGTTTATGGTGTAAAAAAAATGGATTAGTAATTAATACAAATAAATGTCATCAGATAACATTTACTCGTTCTAAAAATGTAAATATTAATCAGTATACGATTGATGGTTGTAATTTGCTTAATGTTTATAGTATTAAAGATTTAGGAGTTATATTATCCAGCGATTTATCTTTTTCTAACCATATAGATTATATTTACAATAAAGCCTCACGAACACTTGGCTTTTTGAGAAGAAATTGTAATGAATTCAATAATATTTTGTGTATCAAAACCTTGTACATTTCTTTGGTAAGATCAATTTTAGAATATGCATCTATTATTTGGTGTCCATATAAAATAGGTGAAATTAATAGAATAGAATCTATACAAAGACGTTTTTTACACTTCATTTCTTTTAAGTCTAGGGATTATAATGTGTCGATCGATGAAATACGAATCTCTCTTGGTTTAACTTCCCTTGCTTACAGGAGAAAATGCAATGATGTTTTTTGGATTTATAATCTCCTTAATAATAATGTAGATTGTCCAGAAATTTTAAGTCTAATTCCTTTTAATGTTCCTAATTTTCATCTCCGATCTAATAATTTATTTTATGTTAACTCATATCGTCAGAATTATAGTTATTATTCACCGGTCAATAGAATGCTACATTTTTGCAATTTAATTAAAAATTTTGATTTCTTTAATGACCATTTAACCAAGTTAAAATCTATTTGTAGCGATGTATTTTAATTATTAATTTTGTATGTTAATAATTTAAACTTCTATGTATGCTGTACTTATTTAATTATTTAGATATTTTGTATTTATATTCTGTACTTATTGCCGTCTGTGGCGTACTCAATATTTATTTGTTTTTTTTCTGTTTGATTATGTTGTGTCTTGTATATTATAAAATAAATAAATATTGAAATAAAACAAAACAATTATAACTAGAATTTTTTTTAATTTCAGGTTTATACATTGTATAAGTGATGTGTATAACATAAATGGTGGCATAAAATTAATTGAAAATTTATTATCTCATGATGGTTGGAAACTTTGGAAGAATGTAGCTGTGAAAAATATCTTGAGTAATTGGAATATAATAAGTATTGATGATTTAATTGTTCCGATTGATAAAGTTAATTATAATTTCATACGTACTTCTATTACAAACATTGTAAGATGTCGCTATATTGATATATTTCAGTATTTTATTAATATGTTGGATGGTATTAATAAAGTTTGTGTATATGAAAATAAAAATAGCTGTGCAACTTCAATTTTCGATACTATGGTAAAATCTGATGAAATGTTTAAAAATATGTTATTTGCTTTAACGACACTGAGACATACGATACAGAGTAAAGCAAAACGAAATACCGTATCACGTATAGAGTTGCAAATAGAATTTTGTAGAAATTTTATATATGACATGAGAAGAATGTATCAATCTTCAAGTGTATTCGTAAACCAAGAATATTATGACTCAACAGAATTTCTCAATAACATAATAACTTTACCACAGACAGTTTTATCAATTAAAAATGCTAAGACAAATGTTTTTTATTCAAAGTACTGTGAAATTGACGAGAAATCTGATTTGAAGAATTTAATGATAGAGTTTAAAAACTTAATTAATGTTAATAATATAACGGAGTACACTAATATTCATAAAACCATGTATGAGTTTTTTAATGTGTTTATTGAGAAGATTAACAAAGAAAATTATGAGAATTTAGGTTTTAATGAAATAACTAAAATATAAATTTTTTTTTTTTTAATTATATAAAACAGACATTTACTTATTTGTTACAATTTAAAATATACGAATTTAACTAAGTATTATTTTATAATTGACTTTAATGTATTGGAAAACCATAAAACTCGTTAAATAACTGGATTATTCAAAGGTGTTGAAAACATATTTTCCATAGAAAACACATTCTCATAAATAAAATTAGTTTTTTTTTAATTCCGGTAATACAAAAAGTTAAAGAGTATGGGAAATTTTAGAATCGAAACAACATATTTTTAGTATTTAAGAAAGTTTTGTTATTTTACTATTATAACAATAAACATAATACTTGTGATTGTTAAAAAATGTTGAATCAATGAATAAATACTTTTCTAAATCAAATTATTTATCGATTTCAGGTAATCATTTTTTAATATAAATTTTAGTCTCAATGTAATAGTTTTGTTTATATTCTAAAAGAAATATTATTATTTCATACATTAACGTAATACGTATTTATCAATAATGTACAATACATATTAATATACAATATTAAATATGAATGCATTATTATATCAACTGTATTATAACTGTGAGGGAAGTAATCCCTTCACTATCTACTCTTTTACCAATGAAAATTATCTAAAATTTAACATGTATTAATAGATTGTACTTTTATAAAGAAAAAAAGTTAAAAATTGTTTAAAGAGAAGTTTTTCTATGGATTTCTAATAAAATTAGCATACATTTTCAAAAAAAGAAACATTATTTGTTTAGTGAATTTTGGAATAAACAAAATTTTATTTTTATTAATAAAAAATTATAACAAATAAAAAATATTTGCTGAGAGTGATCAGGTTTCGTGTATAGCTGAGTTAAACATTTGACGCCTTAAAATTATTTATACCAATTTATATACACTGAAGTTGATATAGTCACATCTTACTCTTTAACATATCAAAGACTTTATTATCTAGAACTCTAGGGTTTACAAGTAATAAGCCACAGGTGACATATTTGAACCCTTTATGTAAGATAAACTAATAATTAATGTGTTTTCTGAATTACCCATACAACTGGGCAATAAATTGGTTTATTATTGGAAGATCTTGGTATTGTAAAATTTATACCATCGAATTATAGTAAAAGCTTTAATATCTGAATGAGTTACAACAATACCGTTTTTGTTAACTAAAGTAAACATTTAAAAACAACAAATATAATAGAACAATATAATAAAATATAATCCAACAAAGATAATTCGTCACTACACTCTCGTTACACAATTAACGATGATGACTATCTTTTTACAAAATACTTATTCTAAAATAGTGAGATATAATTAATAACAAAGCTCATATGCGAAATATGATACTAATTTATTACTATATTGGCGAGCGTCCTATGCCTAATTATACCTAACAACGACTTATATTACTATATCACAAAAATTATTCTCGGCAATATTAATGGGTTTTAATTTGTGTTGTCTGACCGTCAATTGGAAAACACTAATATATCGGAATATCCGCCAGTCTTATGCCTTGATGATATTTCATAGAACACACTGAATGCTGTATAAGACTAGATAACGAAGTCTATGTATCTAGAAATCTCCAACATTTGACTCCTCAACAATCAGTGTTTCACAAAAAAATTTCTTGACGTTATACAGCTGCTCAATATAATAGCTAACGTTGTAACAACACCAACAACATACAGCACACACGACGTAAGTATTATCGTTGACAGTCGTACGACTAACACTATAAATTATTCACAGATAACCGCCAATGACAGTGTGACCATTGACCAGCGCGTAAACAATAGAAAAAAGCCAATACAACTCTTAAACACGTATTTCGGAAGTAATTAACATTTTTAAATATAGACTAGCGACAACGTAAATTTACGTTATTTTATCAAACAGTGAACAGCGTGGAATTCGCAACGGACTGCCGCCGCTACAATAGCAGTCGCCACCGTTAAGTACCCTGCAGTTTTGCCAACCAATTAGGTGGCATAGGTTCGATAAAAACCACCAGATTATAATACAGACATGGAAATAATATAATATACTACGGTTGATTAACAACATTATAAACTAACTAATAACCTTCGTTTTTAACATATATTCTTCGTCGTTAATATTTTACAATAATTATTTTTCAATCCCACTCATCGACTTCACCTCACCCCTTAATCGGACTGTATGAGTTAATAATTAAGCGAAATATTACTTACGTTAAAATTAGAGACACAACTTATCGTTAGTAAACTTCAGACGATTTTTGCCAGTATCCCAAGAAAATCGATAGGTCAATCACCAATTATTCTTTTTGTCGAATTAACCGTTCCATTTATATCAAACTCAATTTTCAGTGTAATTAAAAATGCCAAACACAAAAGATTTATTATGCTCGAGACTTATAATGAGTACATCAAATGGAATGGCAACCGCTATATCCGATGACTATATTGTATCTAAGTGTCTTCAGGAACTTTTAATTTCGCGTTAATGGANTCAGGAACTTTTAATTTCGCGCTAATGGAAAATGGTTCTCTTAAACTTTTTTTTACGCCAGTGTTTCTACACACCTTCCTCGCCCTCAACTGTGTAATACTATTACTCTTTACTCATTTTTATTTTGTTAATAAATAACTTATTTAATATAATTTTGAAGAAACATTTATTTACAATATAAACATAACACAAAAAATTAAATNCAGGAACTTTTAATTTCGCGTTAATGGAAAATGGTTCCCTTAAACTTTTTTTTACGCCAGTGTTTCTACACACCTTCCTCGCCCTCAACTGTGTAATACTATTACTCTTTACTCATTTTTATTTTGTTAATAAATAACTTATTTAATATAATTTTGAAGAAACATTTATTTACAATATAAACATAACACAAAAAATTAAATAATTGAACAAGTCAAAATATAACTTAACTTAAAATAATTATTATAAATCATCTATAAAAATAAATTTTAAACTAAAATTATAAAACCAACCACAGGTGGGTTGTGGCACAGCAGAAATGTGGCATAGTTGGGTCAAGTATAATAATATCTGACAATGATTAAAATCACTATCATAAAAAACGCTTGGATGCAAATCTGTAGATAGTGTTTCTTTTAAAAAATTGGTGGATTATTCCAAATGCTACACGTTCTCCTATTTCCTTATTTATATCCTGATTACAAGTTTTATGATTTATAAGTGTCTTCTTCTTCTTCTTCCTTCCAACTACTTGGGGTCGGCCACCCTTATCCTAAACTTCCACTTGACACGATCTCCCACATCATCTACGCTCACATCAGCTGTCCTCAAATCGCATTCAATAGCATCCCTTCATCTCTTTTTTGGTCCTCCTCCACCTCTTCTTTCTTCAACATTCATTTCTATAACTGTTCTTACAGTTACAGTTATAGATTTATATGATTTATAAGTGTAATATATATATATAATATATAAATATATAAAGGAAAATGGTACAATTATAACTTTTTGAAAAATATATGGATCAATACAATTTTTATATGAGATATAATATTTATATACCTTTCATTTGACATATTTTTTTTTTAAATCAGACCATTTCCCTCANCAATTATAACTTTTTGAAAAATATATGGATCAATACAATTTTTATATGAGATATAATATTTATATACCTTTCATTTGACATATTTTTTTTTTAAATCAGACCATTTCCCTCAATACAGAGGTGGTTCAAAATTAAAAAATGCATATAGAAAGTAGAACTTTTTCAACTTAATTTTTCAAAGTGTTCTGTAAATACTGACACTTTTGTATACATCTTAAATTAAAACTTATGTTATATACTTTATTAAGGAAAAAGAAAATTTCGGACTTTATTTTGTTTTCATGAAGAAAAATAACATCATAGTTAAACAAAAAAAATTTTTTTTATATTTTTAATTTTATAATGCTATAACTCTTTAAAAAATATATTGATCAATACAATTTTTATATGAGAAATAATATATACCTCTTTTATTTGACTTACTTTTTTTTTAAATAAAACCATTTTCCTTTGTATATTTATATTTTATAATTTATAATATAAATTTGTATATTACACTTATAAATCATAAAACTTGTAATCAGGATATAAATAAGGAAATAGGAGATCATGTAGCTTTTGGAATAAATCACTAATTTTTTAAAATTAAAGACTATCTACAGATTTGCATCGAAGCATTTTTTATAATAGTGATTTTAATCACTGTAAAATATCATTATACAAGACCCAACTATGTCACGTCACCACTGTGCTGGGTTTTTTAAACTTATTTTTCTTCTTCGTTGTAGTTTTTTTTTGAGAATTATTATTCAACGGAAGAAATTGAGGATTAGGTTTTCTGATATTTTTGTCTGCAATGAGTGATTGTATTATTTTTACTTTTCTTAAAGCCTTAAATAAATCATCTTTACTAGAATAGTTCATGTGTAAAATGTTAAAATTTTCAACATTAATATCGACGTTTTCAAAATTAAAGAAGCTATAATCCATATTTCTATTTTCCAGCAGAAATATCGACGGGGTTTTACCATAAGACAATTAGGTTTTAACTAAAAGCATTAAATTTTTCATAGCTTTGTATGCTTTTATAGCATCATCAACTTTAGTAAAAGTTAATATTAACGTGTGAGGTTGAAAAGTATATATGTAATATTATAAAAGTCAAAAAGATTTTTAATTGAAAACAGGCTTTATTATATTTGTTTTCAGGCGAATTACTAGATAATGATGTCTCGTATACATCGCTTATAGTTGATATATTTTGATTTCCCTTTCAAATTTTTCTAGGGCGGCTATTATTACATTCATCTAACATATCTGCACAATTTTTTTTGCAAAAACGAATTTGTTCTAAATGGATATAAGACATCAGATTACTGTTATTCTCATAAATTGCACTGGTATATTTATTTTTGTAAGCAATTTCGAAGTCTTTAAAACTGACATATGATGCAGATTTTATGTAATTAATATCTTTTTTATTAGAAAATAATTCTATGATATATTTTGTATCCAAACTATCTTTAGTTGTTACATTAGCAGTAGTATTTAAAAAGTTGTCCTGTTTAGAAGTTAACGTTAAATAATCACGGTGAGAATGTATGCTAGTGGGTATTATGCCCAGTAAACGTTAAAAGTATATTTTATATGGGATGTCGACAGTTTCGATAGACGAAATCTGATGACCTTTTATCAAAATTATTTTCATTTTTATACTTTTAGTTCCAGTTAAGATTTTCCATCTCCAAGTTACGTAAACAGTAAGATTTTTTTGAGTGGCTAAAAAAAAAAT